AAATGAACAACACCCCACTTTTGATTTTCTTTTTCCTATGAAGTCAGGAAATGCAGCAACGGCTTCCCCGACAAAAAGTAAATCCACATTACATTTGCAGTGTAGCAGCCACTACTAGTGAAGTACTAACACCTGGATCTCTTAAATTGTTCCTCACAGCTAAATAGCCAAGGAACGTTCTGATCAGTGCCACACAAACAAAGCCTCTGGTTAAAGATATCCCTTTGAAGGGAAAAAGGCAAACACCGTTAAGAAAGCCTGTTGCCTTGTTCTTCCTTGTCTAACATGGATATAATATCTAGACATAAAGCCTTGTGATTGGGACACAGAGAAAGAAATCAAGATGGAACTAAACTAGAAACACCCTCCCTCCCTGCTGGCTAATGTTTACTGTCAGAAACTATGAAAGCTATTGGGGAGAAAATGCATCAAGGTCATTATCCTGTTACAGAGCACATGTGCATGCACTACAATACCAATTTGTTAGGCAAGATATAAAAATGTAATGGTGACAAAACTATTTTCCAGATGAACCAGTCTGATCTGAGGCCCACAACACAGGATGGAATATACACCTGATACTGTAAAAACCTGGTCAAGAGCTATGGTTGAGAAGGGCTTGTGCCCACAGAAGGAACATATTACTAATATTTACCTACATGAGTGTGTAGTCAAACTACATTCTTAGAATTTGTGTTTATATGGCAGCTCTCAACCCAGGGCAGAAAAAGTTAATGTGATGAGTCCTATCTGGTCAAAGCACAGAAGTCATGAGTTCCCAACCTTCAAACAGGACATCTGTATCAACTCCCACCCAAGGCTCAGGGAACATTGGAGAGGAGAGGACAGAATGAATTCAAGAGCTAGAGGATGGGGATGATTGTCATGCAACAGCCATCCAGACAGATCCTACCACTGCAACCATAAACATACAGCAGCTATGAATACCTTCACAAGATTGACCCTCCAACTTTCCATCATGAATAGAGGTGACCACAAAGCCCATCCATCCCTTTCTTAGGAGATAATGACTACTAATGACTGCTGGAGGAGGAATCGTTTTTCTAATCTAGCACTGGAAAATTAGATGGGAAGGTTCAGAAGAGGGACACCAGAGGGTAACAGGAAGTGTTAATAAGCATAATACACTGCATATGTTTATTAAAAAAGAAAAGGGAGAATAGGTGTAGACAGAGTTTCTGACCTGCTTGGTCCCACAGCCCTTGGTCCCAAATAAACACACAGAGGCTTATACTAATTATAAACAGTTTGGCCAATGGCTCAGGCGTCTTACTGATTAGCTCTCTCTTAATTATCAGCCCATATCTATTAATCTGTGTATCTCCATGAGGTTTGGTTTAACAGAGAATGCTGGAGCCTCTTGCTTTCTTGGCAGCAACACTCTCTGTCTCCTCTCCCCAGAATTCTCCTCATCTGGTACCCCTACACTTCCTGTCTACTAGCCAATCAGTGTTTTATTCATCAACCAATAAGAGAAACATATGTACAGAAGGACACCCCCCCCATCAACAAGGTGTCACAAAATACTATTCATTTTATCAGAGCTTACAATTCTGTGTGTCTGTGTGTGTGCGTGTGTGTGTGTGTTTCAAGACAGGGACAGGGTTTCTTTGTGTAACCTTGGCTAGCCTGGAATTCACTCTGTGGATCAGGCTGGCCTCAAACTCACACAGATATCTGCCTGCCTCTGTCTCCTGGGTGCTGGGATTAAGAGTCAACTAAAATTTTCATAGAAACTAAAACAGCCATAAAGCATTTGAAGTAGTGCTAAGTGTAAAGGGCTTTTACGGAAATATAAAATTAGTCTTACTAGAGCTGGAGAGATGGCTCAGCAGTGCTGCCTACTCTTCCAAAGGTCCTGAGTTCAATTCCCAGCAACTACATGATGGCTCACAACCATCTGTAATGAGATCTGGGCCTCCTCTGGCCTGTAGGCATACATGCAGGCAGAACATTGTACATATAATACACATAATAAATAAATCTTTTAAAAATTAGTCCTACTAGAGGGAAATTTACCAAAAAATAAAAAAATGTATCTATCTATAGTCTGTCAGGACAAGCCCAAGCAGGGGGAAAAAAAATCCCCCTAAATTTTATATAGTAAAATTTGATGTACTTAATGTCTAAAAAGTATGTCCTCCTTTTTCCTCCATGGATTTCTACCATTTGACTTAGATTTTCTAGTTTATGTCACAGGAGAAAACTGATTTATATTAGGACAGTTTATTCGTGCCTCTTCCTAAACTGTATCTTGGCAACAAGACTGGATTCAGAAAAGATACTTGCAATAAAATGTCTTCTTTTGAGAAGGAAGAGGGATCATCAAGATAGGGTTTCTGTGTAGTTCTGGCTGTCCTGGAACTCATTCTACAGACCAGGGAGGCCTCTGCCTCACAAGTGCTGCGATTCCAGGCAAGAGCCACCATGCCTGGATAAGGATTCTAATAGTAATAATACTATCAACTAATACAGAATACATGTTGCCAAGTACCTGGAAGTATTTGATATGGCCCTATGATGTTGCTTCCAATTTTACTAATGGAAAATTGAGTATAGAAAAATTTGCACAAAGTCATGTAGTAAAAAACCAGGGGAGAGAAGGGATTTGAACCCAGTTTCCAAACCTCTTGTTTTATAAAGACAGAACAAGAAACAAAATTATATTCTATAATAACTTTTTATAATTTAACTTTTCATGATTTGTCCTTCAAGTTTAAGAAACAGTTAATGACAGATGGTAATGAGCAAAATATTGAATAAGGAAAATATTAGTTTAAATCGTGGGGGCTGGTGAGGTAGTTTGTGCTATATAAAAACTTGAATTCAACCCCTATCACCCACCCCCCCCCCAAAAAAAACAGGCATAGTGATACAATGGCCATAATTTTAGTATTTTAGTGCTAGGAGATAGGAGACTCCCTGGGGTTTCCTGGTATATGCAAGGGCAAAGGCAGGTGTATCTCTATAAGTTCGAGGCCAATCTGGTCTATACAGTGAGATCTAGGCTAGTTGATGCTATACACTGAGACCCTGTCTCAAGAACTGAGCTTGTAAGCTATGGCTCTCGAGGCTTGTTCTCTGGCATCCACATTCACAAGCCTGTCATGATTATAGATGTACATATAAACAAAGATCTTTCTCTCTGGTATCAAATCATAAAAATCTGAGTCCCTCTACACCAAAATACATTTAAATTTCTGAAGTAGAGGTTGGAGGGATGGCACAGTGGTTAAGAGCACTTGCTGTTCTTTCAAAAGACCCAGTTTAGTTCCCAGCACCCATGCCAGGTGGGTTACATCACCTGTAACTCCACCTTTAGGGGATCTGATGCCTTCTTTTGAACTCATAAAACTCTATGCTCACATACACATACACATAACTAAAAAATTTTTTTTTAATGTATGAAGCACCTGAAAGATTGGTATTAAAAAAGTTTATTAAATTATAGGTATGCATGTGTTCCTGTGTGAGAATGTGTAGATGAGTATAGGTTCCTGAAGAAACTAGAAGAGGGCACTGTAACCTCTAGAGCTGGAGTGACAAACAGTTCAACCTGGGTATCAAACTCTTGTTCTTTAACCAAGAGCAGTATAACTCAGCCACATTCCAGCCCTATAATTTACCTTAGTCTTCTAATTCTGTGGTATCCAGTAGATAAAAAACATCCTTCCTGACTACACGAGACAACTGCTGGTGTTTAGAGACATTTCTGACTATTACGACTGTGCACTTCCCACAACAAGGAATTATCTAGACTATAATGTCAATCCAGGATTAATCAAACCTATACGCTTCTATACATATTTATAGAATAAGTTCTAACCCCCTTTAAAAAAAAATAAAGAATAAAACATGGCATACGAAGCCAGGTGTTGGTGGCGCACACCTTTAATCCCAGCACTTGGGAGGCCGAGGCAGGTAAATCTCTGAGTTAGAGCAAGTTCCAGGACAGCCTCCAATACAATATACAGAAACCCTGTCTTGAAAAACCAAAAAAACAAGGCATACATCATTAAGAACAGGAACTCACCTTCTGTAACTACTTTCCCTGACCTTGACTGAGGATATAGCAAAAGCTAACTGTCTTAACAAGTTTTCCTCCTCCCTAGTATGCACTTTGGAAGCATTTTACAAATAATTGTAAACAGAAAATGTTCCATTTCTAAGTAACATAAACTTCAAATGCTGTTACACTCATTATAGAGTTCCCAAAGGGTTGGAGGAAATGACAACCTTTAACACTTTACTTTTTGCATCATATTAATTCAGTTTAGGTCAATTGCAAAGTATTAACATACTATGAAAAAAACTCTTAAGAATGTGCTCCCATGGGCTGCAGAGATGGCTCAGTGGTTAAGAGCACTGGCTGCTCTTCAGGGGCCCAAATTCAATTCCTAGCTCCCACAAGGTGGGATCTCAGTTATATATAACTCCAGTTCCAGGGGATTCTTATGTGCCCTTCTGACTGCCGCAGGTACCAAGAATGCATGCAGTGCAAACACATACTTGTAGGCAAAAGACCCATATATAAAATGCTAAAAAAGAAAAACTATGTTCCTCTGTGTTTCTGTTTAGAAAAATGTACAATTTTGCTGCTTCCTTTCCCATTTTCCTCCTCTAGATGATGAGAGCCAGTTCAAGGCGCTCTTCAAATCTAGGTCACAAACTCAACTGTTTTGAAACTTTAATGTCTGATGGGATATAAGCCTGCCCAATCATTTATGTAGCTTCACAATGAAAAAGAACTGACTCTGGGTAGTGGTGGTGCATGCCGTTGATTGTAGCACTAGGAAGGCATAAATGGGTGAATCTCTGAGTTTGAGGCTAACCTCATCAACAGAGTGAGTTCCAGGATAGCCAAGGCTACACAGTAAAACCCTGTCTCAAAAGAAAAGAAAAAGAACTAACATCAACTATTTGCTTATTTATATAACAAGAATATCTCTGATAGACAATAATAGTTAAAAATGTTTTACCTCCTCTTCACTTTCTTTCTCTTCATCTTCCGAAGACTCTGCCTTATTTTTCTTCTCATCTTCATCACTACTAGACTCATCTGACAAAATTTCAGGACATTTGGTTTGCTTTGACTTCCTTGTCGCTCCAGAACTGTTCCGTTCCTTTTTACTACCTTTGCTTGAAGATTTTTTGGATTTTGGCAATGGCTGTATGTATTTAAAAAACAAACAAACAAAACATGTATTAACAGTAACATCAATAAGGGTATTTCTAAGTCAATCAACTCCTTTTGATAATTACTTCTCAACTCAAATTCTGTCAGAAAGTAATTACAGGCTTAGCAGAGAAATCATCTTTAAATGTGTCTAGCTACCCAAAACTGCATTACCAGTATTCTCAACTGTCTTGTAAATCCCTGGCAAGATCACTGCAAAGGGTACTCTTGGTTCTGAAACAGGACTACAAGTATGAACTGAAATGAGTTCAGGTAGTGTTTACTTTTGATCAAGACAATATATGTAATTAGAATTAATTCATTCCATTTTTCATAAGCACTAAAGATGCATTAGGAGATTCTTGCTTTAATCAAAGAGGTGGAAGGAACTACGCACAGAGAAAATAAAGCGTAACAATTATATACCCTAAATTTAAAAACAAACTATTACCTCTTCCAGTAATGCCAAATTCTCAGTGACACCCTTCAGTATGCAATATATATTAATTATGAAATAAGAGGCATGCGATAAGGAACTTGCAATATGCCTTCAGTTAAACCGTATCCACTTCTCATCACATGAGGAAAATCATTTAATCAACCAATGAATTTATTTTTAAATGCTTGAAGAGTATTTGCTAAGGGTCTGGAGCTGCTCTTCTAGAGAACTCAGGTTCAATTCCTTGCACCCACATGGCAGCTCATAAATGTCTGTAACTCCAAGTTCTGACTCTCTCACACTGACATACATGCAGACAAAAACACCAATTAAAATAACAGTCCTACATAACTATTTCTTCAACCTAGTTCCATCATTCCAATGCCTTCCAGACAGAAAACCCCGGAGCCCTGGTTTATATCTTATGTGACATTTAGATGCTCTTGTTAAATTGTTTTTGTTTTGAGACAGTTTCTCTAGGTAGCCTTGACTATCCTGGAACTCGATCTGTAGGCCAGATTGGCCTGCCCTCAGAGTGCTAGAATTAAAGTGGGATCAAAGATGTACATCACCACCAGCTACCTTTCTTTCTTCCTTTCTTCTTTCTTTTTTTTCTTTTTTTTTTTTTAAGACAGGGTTTCTCTGTGTAATATCCTGAAACTCTTGAGATCCACCTACCTCTGCCTCCTAAGTACTGGAATTAAAAGCATGAGCAACTACCACCCAACTACTTTTCTTAATCTTGTACAACTCACATTTGATTTGAAGGACAATATACTATTTAATTATTATGAAAATATTGCAGTTCTGTCGATGAAAGGCATATTTTAAATGCAGATGACATCACTGACCAGCAACACAATTCTCTTGTTAGAGTACCATTTCAGTAAAACAAGAAAGGAAAGGCTGATAATAACCAACTTGCTGAAATAGTAAAAAACAAATCCTTACTTTGCCAGAAGGCTTTGGATGCATTAAGAAATTCAAGATCCTCTTCACTAGTTCACTGTTCACACCTGATCTCTCTAAATCAAGAACCTCACAGATGCTCTTTAGCATGGCATTTCTAAACCTGAAACAGAAAGCAAGGGAAAAAAACAATGTGACTACACAAGAGTTCACAAATAATTTTCATGATAGAAAGAGCAAGAACCAGTAAAATTGGTCTGCTTTGTCTCTATAGCATTTACAAGTATTTCCCTGTAGCTTACTCTTAATCACCTGACCAGTGTACAACCACGAGAAAATGCATATTTACCAACAGTTTAAGTAAACTTGCTGGAAAAGTCTGTAACTTTCCAATACTACAAAATTTATGGACTTGAAAATTGTTTAGGTTAATGATTCAGCATTACAATGTCTCAATAAAGGCCTGATCATTTTTATTTAAATTTTTCATCTATAGGCATTTAATAAACAACAGTTCTAAAAGTTTGTCACTTTGCTAGCATTACGTAAAATGACAATTTCTCAAAAAAAAAAAAAATTACTTTCAAAGCAAATTTAAAACAGCAAGGAACAGGAATACATTTCCTTCAGATTGTATGAACTCTGAAAGATTATTTATATCTTCTGAAAAATTAAGTTTTAGGAGTTTTCAATAATTTTAACAGTCACTATTTACTAGAACATAAGATAACCCAAAATGATGCTTTGAAAGACTTGTCAAATCCTGACACCTAAATTAAAGTTAGCAATGTACTAAAAATGAGCAGATATTCAATTTTAAATATTAAAGGTAAGCTGATAGCATTATCAGCCTAGCACAATATTGACAAAAATAACTTACTTTTTCAGCATTTCTTCCTTCTTTTTATACTGGGTACTGCCTTTTTCAAATGGAAAGCCACTGAACTGACCCACATTCTTCTTTAATGAGGACACCTTAAAATGTTTTTGTTATTGTTAATGCTACTATCCAATAATATACAAATGAATAAAGCATTCACATTTTCAGATTCATATTTCAAGTTAAAATACTGATTTATTAAACAAAACTGAAAAGTATCTGAAATTGACATGGTAACATTACAAAAATTCTACAAACTTGAATTAATTCTTTGAAAAGTTTGAATCTGAATTATTTCCACCTAGCAAGTTACCATAATTGTTCCTTAGGTATGTGTAAAGTTACTAGTCAATGATTATTTTTTAAAAAGCAAATAATTTTTAAGTATTCTAAAAAGTTATTGCCATTCTCTAATTTATGAGATGTGTGTAAATTAGATTGTTGTGCACACTGAGGCTAGGACATGTGAAAATAAACTAGACCATGCTTCAGACTGCCTTAATAACATCTAACTTGTTTTACATAACCCAAAGCAAAGTTTCTTATTTCAAATACAGTTACATGCGCTGGAGTGATGGCTCAGCATTAAGACCATTGGTTGGCTATTGTTCCAGAGGATCCAGGCTCTATCCCCAGCACCTATATGGTGACTGGCTCACAACCATCTGTAACTACGTAACTACAGTCCAGTGGCTATCCAAATACCTCAAGCACCTAGCATACAGCAGACAGAAACACAGACATGTAGGCAAAACACCCATGCAAATAAAACAATGTTTTCATTCTTTCTTTCTTTCCTTTTTTTTTTTTTTTTTTTTTTTTTTTTTTTTTTTTTTTTTTGGTTTCGAGACAGGGTTTCTCTGTGGTTTTAGAGGCTGTCCTGGAACTAGCTCTTATAGACCAGGCTGGTCCCAAACTCACAGAGATCCACCTGCCTCTGGCTCCCAAGTGCTGGGATTAAAGGTGTGCACCACCACCGCCTGGCTAACAATCTGTTTTCAAATAGTTTCATATAATAAACCATATGATATGGCAAACAACTGTCATCCACTTTCCTGAGTATTACAATTAATGTAAATGGACAGAACACTGACAAATTTGTTCTAATACAGTTAAAAAAAGAAATCACCAAAATCACAACAAATGTCATTTCCTTTTTTTTGTTGTTGTTGTTGTTTTGTTTGTTTGGGGGGTAGTGCTATTGGAGATCCAACTTAGGGTCTTGGGCATGGCAGATAAGTAATTTATCTCTGAACTACTCCTCCATCCCTAGTTAGTAGGTAAAAAGAAAAGCCCTAGATATTATTGTCTTGTTAATAACCAGCTACCCATACTACAAGATGTCATTTAACAAGTGTCTGGATTTACTCAACTGGTATCATACAGAAACTGAACTAGTTGACATTAAAGTCTTTCAGGATTAAAATTACAGCTCTATACTTAATTAAGTATATTAAAATAGTATATATACTAAGCATCAAAAAGCATAGTAAAGATGTTTTCAAATGTCTTACTGTGCCTGGTCTGTTGTAAAGCAGTTTGTGTAGATTTCTAAGTTCATCTGTTTTTTTCTTACTCAGAAAGAAATGTATCCTTTCAATTTCACAAAGTTTCTGACCCTTCCCTGGAAAAAAAAAAAAAAAAAAAAAAAAAAACATAATTAAACACCCAGGCCTTATTAGTATTTAATGAAAATTATTCCCACAGCATAGCTTGTATAACTTTGTGCTAATAGGGAAAGTTGGAATTATGTCAAAATAGATCACTACTTCCTAAACTCTGAGTATGCTGCTATTATCAAGTATTGCTAATCATTTTTTTTGCCTAATTGAATGTTTTCACTGTAAAAGAAATACAGACTAACCTTACCTTGTGCAATTGTAAATGGCTCTTTTTGTAAGGAAGACACTTGCATTGTCAACCTTTCTACTTTCTTCTTTTCTCTCTTGCCTTCCACAATGAGACTCTTTTCTAGGAATTAATTGAATAGTTTTTAAATTAGTAAATAACAAAAAGCTAAAGCGTCCACTTCATAAACAGGTAGGGAAAAAAGATCTTCCAAACCCAATACCACTTTCCTCCTCAACATGTTTTAAGAAGCAAATGGCATGAAACACTGTAGAAGCTTTTATTTTTAAGAGTAACAGTTACTTAAGTTTGTCAAGCAGCCAGTCTAAAATAACAAAAACTCTTATCCAATTACATTTACCACTACTAAAATCTAGTCATTTGAATTGTGAAAAAAAAAAAAATCACTTAGTTTCTCACTAGTCAAGATGATTACTATTTCAATCATTACTTCATTCTGTTTGTGGGCCTTTGAACTCTTAGTTTTTCACACAAACATGTAATAAATTATTTTAAAATAAGCAGTTATGCTACTGTGCTAGAACACTAGAGCTTATTTCTCCTATCTGACTGTACTTTGTACCTGTTGTAAGATAGCTGGCTGGACATTACTTTGTAGTTTGACAATTGTGTTCAGGACAGCCATAAGTCACTCTGACAAAGTTTAATACTGTTTAATCCAGACTTCTAAGAAACACCCAGGAAATATGATAATATATAAAGCTTAAAACACTGTTCTATTCAAAAACATACTTACTGATTGAAATCTAGTCAAATTGTATTTTGTTGTAGGACCTTTCATTCATTCAAATCAGTATCTATTAGGTCCAAAAATGTACTTCATATTCAAAATGATATTACACATGTTTTGAAATTTCTACTAGGAAAATGAAAACTATACTTAATATAAAAGGTGATAACAGATCTTTAAGACACAAATAAGGTATAAGGGTATAGTTCAATGATAGAATATCTAAAATGCTCAAGTCCCTGGATACAGAAGAGAAAAAGATAAATATAAAATTTGTGAGCCTGGATGTCCAGATTTCTGGGCATGTAAAGGTGCTTACTGCCAAGTCTGGTGACCCAAGGCCTAAGCACCAGAATGAATGTGGTGGGAGATAACTGATTCCCTTAAGTCTTTTGACTTTCACATGCACCACCCCTGCCACACACAACAAATAAAAGCTACAAAATGCTTTGTGAGGGACTGGAGACATGGCTTAGTGGTTAGCGGACTTACTGCTCTCTCAGGACCAGGGTTTGACACTAAGCACCACATGACAGCTTACAAACACATCTAAAACTCCATTTCCAGGGGATGATCAGGACCTTCTGGCTTCTGAGGGAACCAGGCCAAGTACTTGGTGTACACACATACATGCAAGCAAAACATTCATACACAGAAATAAAAATAAACATTAAAAAAAAAGTTTTGTGAGTTGAAGAGGGATTATTTGGGGGCTAGAGAAAAGGATCAAAACAGTGTAGTGTAGGCTTTACAAAAAGTTCAGATTTGGGGATTAAAGAAGTTGCAAAGAATGAATGGAGAAAGGAAACACTAAGTATGTTATAAAACAGCTCCTATTAATTTCCTCTTCTGTAATTTCAGTCATACTTGCTTTGGATCAAAATCTACAAACTATAAGTTCTTAGTCCGGCTGTAACCTGGACAGCTCCTCCATGTCCTATAGGAACTGACACAACACATCCAAAAGACCTCATAATCATATCCAAGCTTGTTCACGTCTGTATTTGTTTTCTACAGAATAACAGCATCACCAAACCCTATAGAGAAAAGCTGAGAATCACAGTTCAATTTCTCTCATCTTTCCCAAACCATTTCTAAGTCCCGCTATCAATGCATTATTTCAGACTAGTAGTTTCATTGTCATGCAACTTTCTATCATTATACTGAAGGTAAGTATTCTGTGCTAAATAGAATTAAAAACGTACAATTCCAGTATCCCAATCACCTCAAAAGAGGAAAATTAGTAATGAGTCAGTTCTGAAACTATTAAGAACTAAACCTACAAAATCAGTTCTTAAAAACAACTGGTTTAGTCAACAAAATTCACGATTCTATCAATTATTGTTAGCCTCTGAAACATTACTGTTTGGGCCTTTTATAGTATATTTATATACATAACTTCTCAATTTTTTTTCTGCCCAAGGAAATTCACTACCTCTAGTATCTCAATTTTGCCCCCCCAGGAAGAAAAAGTAAAATATCAGCAGTACAAGTGTTAAGAAAGTCTTAACAACACAGATATTGCAGGCAATGTTCAATTACATTATAAATAACCTAAAAATGATTTAAAAGTCAGTGTTAAACGACACACTCCCATAAGGTCTTAGGGATCATACCACTTATTCAAATAAGTTATACCTTGTCCCTTAAGCCATATTATATTTATACAAAGAAATGAACCTTTGGGAAGAGCACCTTAACCCTGAGACCTGATCCCAAGTTTTGCAAAGCTGTGGCCATTTGCACAGTCAACCAGGACGGACTAGTACTGCAAGATGTAAGGAGCTGTGCCTTGGACTTTCCAACAGCTGAGAATGTCCCTGAAAACCGATGTACCTGTAGAGGGACAGCAACAAGCATCCTGGATAACTGACACAATACACCTGCACTGCTCTGAACTGGCTTCGCAGCACAGCCTCTGGTCAAATAACAGTGGCTAATACCACCTTCCTTTGAACAGAATTAGCTCCAAGACCGAGACAGCTGTGGGTTCAGTTTTAACTTTCAGTTCAGTTTTCTCGTTTTTAAACTACTTTCTCCAACAGCAGCAGCAGGCTTTCACAGGTCATTCCTAGGCAAAGAGAAAGGGTTCCACAAGAACCCTATTTAAAAGTCAGCAGATACACAGAGTTGAAGACATGAAGACATTTCCAGGATTAGCAAGAATACCTGTAGTGTCAGGTTACATTAGGGACCTTGGGGGTAACTCTGCAGGCAAACGCTGCAGAATGAAATTAGCACAATTAAAACACTCGCGTAGCAACACAGCACTGATGTAAAAGGCAGATCTCAGACTTACAAACTTCCTGTGGGGTGATCAAGTGTTCTGAAGGGACACCGCGAAAACTCAGCTACGCTCGCCATCAAAACCCTGGCAAACACTCAAAGGGACAAAACAAAACAAATTCCACAGATTCCCTGCCACTGATCCTTAGCAAACGCACACTACAAACACCATTCGCGTGAAATCGATCGCTCCGACTCGATGCCTCTAAAGCGCCAAAAAGCAAGACAACCGCTTCCCAAGGTTGGGGGGAGGTGGGCTGGCTCTCGATGTGACAAATCCACCCACGAGGGATGCGCGTGCCTGCCCACCTTTTTCTTCCTCCTCGTCCTCATCCTCGTCGTCGTCCTCCTCTTCCTCCTCACTCTCGTCCCTGGGACCCGGCATTTCGGGCTCCTTCTCGGACGCGGGCTGCGCCGGGGCGTCCTCTCCCTCCGCAGCGGGGGCCGCCGCCGACATGCTGGGTGCCTGCGGGCGGGGAGGAAGCCGCACGCTTCGGTCCCTTCGCTCGCACCTGCGGGATCCAGGCGACCGCCGGGTGGGGAAGCGCCTTTGCAAGTCGCCTACTCCGCTCCGTCACTCCGCCCGCCTCCCCGGGGATGCCCGAGGCGGGAAATCGCGCCGCCCTCCCGCCGCCGGCGCGCGCGCTCCCGCCCGGCCCGCCCGCCCGGCCCGCCCGGCCTGCGCCACCCCGGGCCGGGCCAGGCCAGTCCGGCCAAGCCGAGCCGCGGGTCCCCTCCCCCGCGTCGGGCCGCCGTGCGGATGGCCGCGAACCCTCCCCGCGGCGAGGAGCAGCAGCCGCGCCTCCCCGAGGCCGCCCTCACCGCGGGTGCGCACGAGGAGGCCGCCGCTGAGAAGAAACCTCGCGCCGCCGCGCGCTCCGCGCTCCTCGCTCCGCTCCTCAGAATCAACAAGATTTTCAAAATGGCGGTTCGGGAAGCAGAGCGGGAATGCGCCGGCCAATCAGCGCGCTGCGCTGCGAGTTGGCGCGCGCGGGCGGGCGGGCGGGGGAGGCGGGGCGGCGGGGCGGCGGGGCGGCGGCGGCGGGCAGCCAGGCGGGGCCGCCCGGGGCTCCGCGCCCGCCCGAGGACCCGGTCCCTTCCGCGCTCCCGCGGGCCGGAGGGCGCCCGGACGGGCAGCGGACCCGCGCGGGGCTTCCGTGCTGCACGGACGGACGCTAGGGGGCCTGCGAGCTCCTCGTCTCCCGGGCCGTTCTGGGAGATGATGACCGGCCGCCCTGGGCCGTGCAGAAGGGTGGCGGCTGAAGGTGACAAAGTTGACGGGATCCACAGAAGTCTCTTTCCCAGACGTGGAGGGCGTCGACCGGGAGCCCTCTCGTCTGCCTCCTGGAGATCGTTCTGGAGGAAGGCTCCCAAATGTCGCCCGTACGCTGCACCGTGACATGGATGACATGGACCCCACTACGTTAAGTGCTCACAGCACCAGTGACATAAATAGGTTTTATACCCGTGAATGTAAAGCAAATTCACTCTCTCCCTTTCTCTCCCCCTTTGGTCTCTCCTGCGATGCAAATACGACATTTGTCCACTCCACACACTCTGTCAAGAATTCTAGGTAAACTCCACCTTAGAATTCACACTTAAGAAACTGAGTGTTAAGGCACGCGCTACCCTACGTGTAATGGTGGATATTTTCTTCCTACCCACTAGCTGCCCAACTGATTTTTTTTTTTTTTAATCCAGTTGACTTGGTGGAAATATGATTAGCTACAGTTTGGGGAATGGACCTAAAGTTGCAGGAAAAAAAAAAAGACCTTGTTTTTCTTTTTGTGCTTTTTTTTTTTTTTTTTTTTTTTGAAACATAAGCTAAATCCTGTTATTTCTGCTTTCTGGTCTTAGACTATTCTACCGATTCTGTTCACATTCCGAACACTGTCCTCTTTAGTTTGTATTGCAGCATAGGCAGCCATTGGCCTGCCCTTCCAAACACTAACCTGTCTCCTCCACTAGTCACTCACACCCCAGCCAAAGCAATTTTAATTTGACACTCTCTTACTTAAAATCTCTGATGGCCCATCATACATGAAACAACCTCCAAATTTCTTATCACAGTGTGTAAGGTGCTACATAATCCAACTGCTGGCCCTATGTCTGATAACTCTCTGACGTAGTTGGCCATTTGGTCACACAAGACATACTGATTTTCTTTCACAAGACTGTCATCCATATCATCTGGGCTTTACATAGTAAAACTTTACACTTCTACTGCCAGGGCTGGTCTTTCCTATTAATTAATCTTCATTAATTAATTGTTCCTTCCCAGCACTTATTTCTGCTCAAGTAGTTTTCCTCAAGACCATCACTGTTTTGAAACCATTGCCATTTATAAGTATTAAATCCTCTACCCTTCACTAGAGGCTGGAGTAGGGCTACGTGTCTGTCATCTTGAAGTAGACTGTAGCTGAGACAGTGAGCATGGGAGTGATATAACAATTAAGTGGAGATATGGAGTACCAGCAGGCCAGGTGAGCCTTTCTTTGAAAAGCTCAATGGTCAAGGTAGGTTTTGTTAATAACATGACGTTTAAAAAAGAACTCAAACGAGGGCACAGAGATGAGGTATGCTATGAAGAATTATCTAAATTACTAGATGTGGAAAATGGGAATAAGAGATCAATGATTACTAGGTTTTGGTTCAGACAACTGTAAGAACAGAAGACTAATTGGGATGAGGAAGTGTAAGCATTATGGCAGCTTGGATGGGATGGGGATGGATTCTGGCACTCAGTAGCCAAAGGATACTAAGTGTTACAGCTCGGATAGTAAGGTATTTTGGCACTCGGGAGCTAAGGAATACCATAGGTCACAGTAAGCATAGTAGCTTACAGCCCTGCTTCAGGGAAAAACTTCTGCAGTGTATTAGCTCTGCTCTGGCAGGAAAGGGTTTCCCTGGTGAAGTTGTTACAGTTCAGCTTCAGTCCCTGGAGAGCAGAATGTAACAACTTCACTTGACTTGCCAGGGAAAGTTTACTCAGTGAAAAGTGTTACAGCCCTGCTCCATTCTTCCCAGGGTCCTCTGCTCCTGCTAAAGAAGATCTCATCCAAACCTCATTCAAGAGATGTATTGGTAGGGATGAATCCAGGAGAGTGGCTGCCCTCTGTCAAGGTGGCAGAGAAAAGATGGGTGGCCCAACAACCACAAGCTAAACACACAGGGTTTATATAGGGCTTCTTAGGGGGTGGAGTTTTCCCAGGGAGATTTCCAGGGTGGGGATTTGTCAGATTTCAATCCTTGAGCTCAGACTGGCTAGATCTCGTGCTCAGGGATTGGTTGGTTTTCTGCACAGGTCTAGTTTCAGATTTGGCTCTGGTTTCAGGGCCAAAGTGTGTTTCTTTCACTGGTCCTTTTTAGCCTTTTGGCTCTAATTTTAGGACCAGAGTGTATGTCTTTCACTGGCTCTGATTCCAGAGTCAAAGTGTGTTCCCTTGGCACTGGCTTCAGGGTCAGGGTGCATTTCTGTGGTTCTGGTTGCAGGGCCAAAGTGTGTTTCTTTGGCTCTGCTCAGGGTGTATTTCTTTAGTTGGCCCTTTTCCCTCACAGGAACACTTAAGGAAATGGGACGAGCAAACTTTTTATTTTATTTTAGGGAGGAGCTTTGTGGGAGATCTAGGTTTACTTTGTTTTATAGATGTTAGGATAGAGATTTATGGTCCTCAAAATGGAAATTCACACTAAACAGTTGGATGAGTGTCTAAGGAAGAAGCTGTCACTCAAGATAGTAATTTAGCAGTTGTCAGCATGTAGTTGCTGTTTAAAGCCCTGACACTAGATGAGGTCACAAACAGAATTAATAAAGGTGTTGATGAGAAATTAATATAAGCAGCAAGGAGAGTTTCAACTCTGAACCTTTGAATGCTCCAAGGTTTATGGTTTCAAGAGAGGAAGGCAGGCCAGCTAAGAAGCTGTAGAGCAACAGCAGCCAGTGGAGGAGAATCAAAGCTGTGTCCCAGAAGTCACAAATAGTGTCTTCCAAGGAGTGAGTGACCAGTTGGATGAACAAAGTATTGACTTGGATATAAAAAAAAAAAAAAAAAAAAAAAAAAAAAACCATTCTCAATGGCTCTGAAGAACTGTCTGTTAGGTAGTGGGATGGGGATAAAGGCACCAGGAATGGAGATTAAAGGTGCTGGGATGGGGATAAAGGCACCAGGAGTGGAGATGAAGGCACCAGGAGTGGGGATAAAGAGCCAAGTGAACAAAAAGTGAAATTCACACCCTTCGAACGAATTTGAGTGTACAGTAGATCTAAGAGAGCAGTAGTTCATGGGACTCTACCGTTTAAGGAGGAAGATGTGGCTAGTGCGATAGGGTTGTCTTGCTAAGAGTAAAATTGTTTCTGCAATTTGGAGCACTAAATATTTCTTTAAGTGGTCAAGACCTGTGGGAGGAAGGAGAAGGAAGCAAGATGGGAGAAAGCAGGCATGCTAGGTCAGGTCTCTCTCTCTCTCTCTCTCTCTCTCTCTCTCTCTCTCTCTCTCTCTCTCTCTCTCACTCTGCAAGGTTTCTCTGTCCTGGAACTAGCTCTGTAGACCAGGTTGGTCTGGAACTCACAGAGATCCACCTGCCTCTACCTCCTGAATGCTGGGATTAAAAGTGTGCAATACTAATATGTTTTCAACTTTGGGCAACGCATTCAGACCATAGCAACGGAGTACCGAGGGGATTCAGAAGCTATGCATGTGTTCAGATTCAGGGTGGCAGATACAGTGAAACTTTTAGAAGTTCTGATTCCTGTAAGTTTCTTGACACATTTAAGTATAAATTCACTGATAATGAGTGAGTTCCAGAAAAGGCTGCTGGAGATTTGAGGAGATTGGAAATTGAACTAGTTTTGTACGCTAATGGAAGACGACAGGATTAGGCAGATAGTTTTGCCAGGCAGCTGCAAGAAGCCAATGAGATTAGTGGTTATGAAATAAATGCCTTTAGCTTTATTGCTCTTTCTATGTCTGGATGCCTAGCAATAGGTATAAAGATGGCAAGCAGGCAGGCAGGGAGGGGGCAGGGAGAAGGGAGCAAGAGAGGAAGGGAAGAAGAGAGGGAGGGAAGAAAGGAGGAAGGGAGAAAACATTTAACAAGGTTGGGGTTTTTCTAAATAAATAGAAGGGCAAAGGCTGACTGAGTTGAGGATATGCATAGATAGGGAAGGAAATGGACTACAGACTCTCAGTAAGAAGAGAAGTAAAGACAAGAAGTAAACTTCAAAGGGGACAGGATTAGTGCAATCTTTCTTTTTCTTCAATGACATTTTTATCTGCACAGTCAAACAGTGTTTTACATTTGTCTTCCTCTTTAAAATGTAGCTTCCAGCTGGGTGGGTGGTGGTGATGGTGCACACCATTAATCCCAGTACTCAGGAGGCAGAGACAGAGAGTTTAAGGCCAGCCTAGTCTACAGTTCTGGACAGTCGAGGCTATACAGAGAAACCCCACCTTGAAAACTCAATGATAGTAATTAATAATAATAAATAAATAAAATGTAGCTCCCAGATGCTATAGGTTTTCTTTGTCTTATTCATTATCACTCTATCCTCAGCACAAAAAGCCTTGCCTTAGTAGGTAGCATTTGCCTAATGAATGAATACAAGCCAAAATAGACTTTTACTATGAGGATCTAGAATGTCTTTTTTAAAAATGTGACTGAAAGCTGTGCTATTCAAGATACAACAAGCTATTTCAGTTGTCTGACCGTCAAGGTTTATTTTTGCTCTCTAAAACTCTAGTCTGTTCAGACAGCTCTCTAGGGCTACCATTCATGAAATGTATTCATTGCTGCAGGCTACTTTGATCTTAAAGATCTGCCATCTCAGCACGAGTCCTTTATATTCAAGATAGTCGGGGAAGAGCAAGAGGGGTCATGGCTGCTGCTCCTTTGTAGTTAGTGGTCAGT